CTTCTTTGGACAATTTCTTGCGCGTCGTTTTTCCTGTTGCCCTTAAGTCTTCTATTTTTACATTAGCTGTTTTTCCTTCCTACTTCTTCTTTTTAGACAACCTGGTTGCCAACGGCCAAATGACCTCAAAAGCATCATCCGTGTTTAAGCGTGGTTGGCTGCACTGCAGCATAAAAGAACATCATGGTCTCAACACATCCTCACTGATCTTTTGTTGCTTCTAGGTTGGAGGCCATCGCTATTAGGTTGGAGGCCATTGCTTCTAGGTTGGAGGCCATCGCTATTAGGTTGGAGGCCATTGCTTCTAGGTTGGAGGCCATCGCTATTAGGTTGGAGGCCATTGCTTCTAGGTTGGAGGCCATCGCTATTAGGTTGGAGGCCATTGCTTCTATGTTGGAGGCCATTGCTGCTAGGCTGAGCCATCGCTATTAGGTTGGAGACCATTGCTTCTAGGTTGGGCCATCACTATTAGGTTGGAGGCCATTGCTTCTAGGTTGGAGGCCATCGCTATCAGGTTGGAGGCCATTGCTTCTAGGTTGGAGGCCATCGCTATCAGGTTGGAGGCCATTGCTTCTAGGTTGGAGGTCATCGCTATTGGGTTGGAGGCCATTGCTTCTAGGTTGGAGGCCATCGCTATTAGGTTGGAGGCCATTGCTTCTAGGTTGAGCCATCGCTATTAGGTTGGAGGCCATTGCTTCTAGGTTGAGCGATTGCTATTAGGTTGGAGGCCATTGCTTCTAGGTTGAGCCATCGCTATTAGGTTGGAGGCCATCGCTATTGGGTTGGAGGCCCTCCTTTTTTGTGTCACTGATCTTTTGATCTCATGGGCCATTCATAGCCGATGAAGCTTCCCCAGCCGTAGCCGTGGCCATCGGGCACTGGGCACCTGTCGCCTGAGCCTTTGTGTGCAACAAAGCATTGACGCATCCGAAGTGCGGGCGAGTGCCAATCAAATGGCTGAATCCAAACTTTTAACCACAACTGCACTCTGCTGCTGTAGCCGGTACCCAAGCCCCCCAAAATCCACTACTGCACCTTTCCTGTAGTTCCCCCTCAAGAGTCTTGTGGATGTTCCCCTTCCAAGATCCATCACCCGCCCATCCAGATCATCCCCTCGCCTGGCGAGCCCGACTGTGACAAGCGTCTGCGGCGTCGCCTCAGTCGACGATCGCACCGGTGGCGGAATTTGCTCACCCAGCGGCAGTTTGTAACTGCGGGCATTTGTTAGGGTTCTTCATCAAGCAGTGTTTAGGGGTTGGAGGCCATCGCCCTTAGGTTGGAGGCCATCGCCACTAGGTTTGAGGCCATCGCTTTTATGTTGCAGGCCATCGCTACTAGGTTGGATGCGATCGCTTGTAGGTTGGAGGCCATCGCTACTAGGTTGGAGGCCATCGGAGGCCATCGCTACTAGGTTGGATGCCATCGCTCGTAGGTTTGAGGCCATCGCTACTAGGTTGGAGGCCATCGCTCTTAGGTTGGAGGGCAATTCTAGATCTTTGCACATTCTGACTTCTCAAGAATTCATCAGGTTAAAACCATGGTCCTCTACTCAATAAGAGAGCCTAGGAGACACTGAAGCCAGGAAATCGGCAAACTTTTAAGAACTTCAACCATTCTGAAACATTTTTCAACCTTTTCCTCTTTCTTTCTTCATGTCTTTCTTCTCTTCTTTTCTTCAGACCCTTCTTTCTTCCTCTTCTTCTCTTGTCTTCTTTCCCCTCTTTCAGGGAAATCTTTAGGATTTTCCTCTTCTTTCCTCTTCTCTTTAGGATTTTCCCTCTGGGGCTCCCTGCCTTTTGCGTGGCCCCGGATCCTGCAGCCACATGTTTTACAGCTCCGGTCTGCCGGAGGGGACCGTGACACAGGGACTAGGCCCGCCTCATCCGGCCCGGGGGACTGCGACATCATTCGCCGCGCCATGGGCAGGTGTCCTCACGGCATCTCTGTGGTGTGGCAGGTGGGAACAACGTCACGCACAGGTGGGAAAACATGTCATTTTGATGGCCTCCAACCTAATAGCGATGATCTCCAACCGAGCAGGGATGGCCTCCAACCTAAGAGCGATGGCCTCCAACCAAAGAGCGATGGCCTCCAACCAAAGAGCGAAGGTCTCCAACCTAAGAGCGATGGCCTCCAACCAAAGAGCGATGGCCTCCAACCTAAGAGCGATGGCCTCCAACCTAGTAGCGATGGCCTCCAACCTAAGAGCGATGGCCTCGAACCTACTAGCGATGGCCTCCAACCGAAGAGCGATGGCCTCCAAGAGCGATCACCTCCAACCTAGTAGCGATGGTCTCCAACCTAATAGCGATGGCTTTCAACCTAATAGCCATGGCCTCGAACCTAATAGCGATGGCCTCCAACCTGATAGCGATGGCTTTCAACCTAATAGCCATGGGCAGCAAACCTAATAGCGATGGCCTCCAACCTATAGAAGCAATGGCCTCCAACCTAAGAGCGATGGCCTCCTAATAGAGAAGTTGAATCAACTGGTAGTTGGAATCCATCTTGCACTGCTTGGGCCTGAAAGGCTGCACCATTGAAGCAAGGTAGATCAAACGGTCAAAACTTGTGAGAGCCGGAGCCTTCCAAATCATCTCACCATTCGATCACCTTCGGTCCATCCATTTCACATCCCTGATCCCAAAGACACCCTCCTTGGCCGGCGCGCGTTGGCGAAAACGCCGCGCGCTGGGCACTGGGAGCCGACATGGCGGCGGAACCACAGAACTACAGAGGCGGTTTCGCACGGGTCTATATCGGTCTGAATACACTCCCTGGAATCATAATGGAAGTGGACAAAAACTTGTTTGTGGAGGAACATGGTAGTCCTTTCGGGGCAATGCCATCCACTTCCATGTAGCGGCAACTCCTGAATTTGAGAAGTTTTAGGGGACGTTTTCGATCCCGCTACAGGTTCTGCTTTCGCTGCTGGAAGGGGTCGGCGCGTGTCTTGCCCACCTGCTCAGCATCGTACAAACTCCAACCGCTTTGGTCCTGCGGTTAGAAACGAAAAGAAATCAAGAGAAAAACGGCTGCTTGGGCCCCTTGTTTATAGGCCGTATTAGAGGGCCCCTGACTTGGAGGAGCTTAGGCATCTTCCTTTGCTCGCTTTTAGACTTTGTCTTTCCTCCCTGGTTTCTCAGCGACCAAAGGCTGGTCTTGATTTGGCTCACAAGACATAGGGAAGCTCCTGTTTCTTGAAGAATGTGTCAGCAAACGCATCGTAGTCCTGAAGAAGATTCTCTTTCCGCAGCGCATCGTAGTGCTTGAAGGCAAAGAGCATTGCAGGATTCCTGAGCCACATACACACTCTGTCTCGTGCCTCACTGTTGGTGCTGCTATTCGTCTTTGGTGTTTGGCCCAAGCAACCCCGGGGTACTGAAGCTGCTGACGCTTTCCAGCAAGAGCCGCGCCTCCTGCCAGGTGTCCAAAACGGCCGCTCACTCGACAACAGCGCGAGTGTTCGGAGCAGCGTCCTGCTCCGATTTCAGAAGGAAGATCAAACACCGTAGGTCCTGCCAGGGCCAGTGCCCGTAAGAGCAAAACGGCGCGTTAAAGGTGCAAAATTTGTGAGTAGCAACAACTGTTGCTCTTCACAAGGGAGGACCTTATGAGCAGCGGGGGTTACATTTCGAGATCCATTTTGTTGGTTACAGTAGAAACAAGAAGCTACGAACGGGTCTCCTGGCCATACTACTAGGAGCGTTCGGACGCTACGAACGGGGCTCCTGGCCATACTACTATAGGAACAAGAAGCTATACTAGGGGAAAGTGACCATGGTCCGACATTTGAGACTCCTGAGAACAATCGTCAGATCAACCAAGCCAACTGCGGATTTTGACTTGACGTGCGCCGTGACGTGGACACACGGAAATGGCCTTGCAAGTGATGGTGACCCTCAACTCCGTCGCGCCCGTCACGGTCACCAGCTTTTCATCTTTGATGGTCTGCCAATGATCCGAAGCGGCCACGTGGCAACTGCTGAGTTTGGAAGGTCAAAAGCATAGAGAAACATCACCGAAAGAGGATTCATGCAGTTCGGGAACAAGATTTCATCATTCAAGCAAAACCCGGGGAGTAAAGAAGCTGCAAGAGTTTTTTGACGCTCGGAAGCAACGATGTCCGGGAAGAACACAAGGTTGATGCGACGTACCATATACCTATTGGTTGCACACGACTGGGGTATGACTTCGTAACTTGGATTTATCCACTGCGATTAGGAGAAACAATAAGCTACTACGAACAAGTGCATCGCTTCTAGTAACAAGTGCCTTACTAGTAGTAACAAGAAGCTAGTAGAAACAATAAGCTACTAGTTGCTAGTAGGTTGGAGGCCGCTTCAGAAGCATCGAAACATGTCGCTTCGCTTCGCTTCGAAAGTGAACAGCTGGCCTCGACCAGTCCAAACGGTACATCGAAGTACTTGACACCCCGCATCCACATGAGGTCCTGAAACAAACAGGCAAGGACAGCATTGAAGTGGATTGGTTTGGGGATCGCACCTGCCGTGGATCTCAAGACAGAACTTCCTTTACTCTCCTTGCTAACAAGAAGCTACTAGGGGTTCCTGGCCATACTACTAGGAGCGTTCGGACGCTACGAACGGGGCTCCTGGCATCGCCCTCGTTGGTGTAATGTCGATCTTTTCGCAGAAAACGACAGCTGCAGACTTGTCATCCTTGGGTGAGCCTAGAAACCTCCTTAGGTCACATGTCTGAAGGCACTTGTGCATTTTTTAACCCGTTGAGACGATTCAGCTCGCGGCTTTTTTTCTCACCGAAATGGGGTCCATCCAGGGTCCATCCAGGAAATCCGTCTCCCAACGAACCTGTGTTCACTCGACGCGCCACTTCGCACCGGCTTTTCTGCGCGTCTGCTACGTCCGTCTGCTCGCATGTCCCCTGAAGCAGAAACGGCTCCTTCGCTTCGTCCCCAAAAGCTCCCAACGGCTCTTCGTTGAAACGTCGCAGTCGGTTTCACGGTGCCAAAACGTCACTCACAGCGTAGCCCTCGTCGCACTCGTCGCAGGTCGTGGGAGCCGGAAGGTCCAAAGATTTTCGCGAACCTGTCGAAGCTGGGAGGGCCCAGCTTAGACTCGGTTGACCGAGGTGACGGTCGACTGGTCGACCTGTCTTGACACTCGGTTGCGGGGTCGACACTCGGTTCTGACCATCCAACATGGTGCGTATTCGTGCTTGGTGAGATAGCACGGTGGCTTTTCACAAAAGCAGCAGTTCCATCAGCTCTTTGTGGCTGTGGCTGGAAAAAATCATCCCGAAATTGTTAAGTCGTAAATTCTCTTGGTGTGCAAGGATCGACTCTACAGTAGTTCGCTATTAGGTTGGAGGCCATTGCTATTTGTTTCTTAAATTTTTGATGTTTGGCTTTCTCTCCAGCCCAGTTGCAGATGAAGACACACATTTAGTCAGCTGTCCCACTTCTGGGTTCGGTGGGCCACAGAAGAAGAGGAAGAAGTTCGGTGGGCCCCAGGAGGTGGACATATCCCTCGAAGCTGAAGAGCTGCTAGCTACGAATTTCAACTTTCTTTGGAGAAGTGTCATGTGCATGCTCTGAAGTTGAATGCTCTCTGAATTAGACAGGCAAATACTTGAGATCTTCACCATATTCACCTTTATGCTTCTCGAGGAAACTCATCCTAAACGCTTGTAGAGGTGGGTCAACGGCGGATTTGGAAACTAGGGTGGCCACGGATGCGGAAACTAAGCACGGCGTGGATTCGGAAACTAGGATTCGGAACTAGCACGGGTCTGAATTGGATAGTTTCTGAATCGGGTCTGTGAAAATCTGTGAAATACCAATATGTCCACGCTACATCAACACAAACATTTCATTAGATCCCCACGCCACCCCTCACAGTTTCTGAATCGTCTTCTGTTCTGTACAGGTGTGAGGCCGTCTTTTCGCTTCCCGGACCACGCGCAACGCCGCCCAGTCCGGGCCTGCATCTCTGGATTATCATTCTGCACCAACCTGATGAGTGAACCTCCAGCATCGAGGCGAATTTGGCACGAGTAACAAGAAGCTACGTTCGTAGCAAAGGGCATCGCTACGAACGGAACAAGGACGCTACGAACGGGGCTCCTGGCCTTACTACTAGGAGCAAGAACGCTACTAGTAGCAACATTTTTGCTCCACTTGGTTTTGGGACTGTCCATGCAGGCTTGCAAGAAGGGTTAGTTGTCCAACAAATTCCTTTTTGGATCGAAAGACCTGAAAGGAAAAGAACCTACTAGCAAGTAGGCCAACAAAAACCTAGCTCAGACATATCAAGAAAGGAGTATCTACCAGTCACATGGAGGGCGGTGGCCTATTCGTCCCATCCGGATCGAACCGAGCTTCGCGCGCAAGGTCGGTAGGCGTGGTGCATTCATCGCCTGCCGAGTCCAGCGGATGAAAACGGTGGAAAGGGCCGACCCAAATGAAGGTTTTGGAAAGGAAGGAGGAAAAGAAAGAGAGGTCTTTTAGGTTTTAAGAAACACTGTTTTTTTCACCAAGTGTTTGGATTGCCAACCGTGCTGGCATTCTCTTTGCCCTAAGTCGGTCACTGCTTGGTCTGAACATCGTGGCCAAACCGTGATCCGATATCGATGTCCTGACAAAAGATATGTTTCGTTTCCCTCCCAAATCTAGGAACAAGAAGCTACAAGAAGGTACTAGGCTATCGCTAGGTTTGAGGGCAGAGCAGAGAGCAACGCTACTAGGCTCCCGTCCGTTCGCCCGGAGCGTCCTGTGCCCTACTCGTAGCAAACTAGTCGCCCGCTGAATTGAGAGACGGCCGCTACTTCATTAAGTTTGGAGGGGAAGCGATGTCCTTGTAGCGATGCCAGGAGCTCCTAGTAGCGAACTAGTCGGCTTAAGGCACGTAAGGGTGGGCTGTTTTAACAGACGCCTTCTCGACACGGTCCCAGTTCTCCAACTCATCGAACTTCCAGGATTGGCTCGACCTAGCAAAAGAGTCAGGTGGCGATTGGTGTTCGAAGGGCGCTCTTTGCATCTTCCAAAAACAGCAATCAACACATCATTAGGCGATTCATGCCCCTGTGCCCTGTGCAGAATCCACAAAAGCGTTTATATAAGCAAAAAAGAGGCCGTCGAAACTGGTGCTGATTGAAATGAGGAATCGCATCAAATCGCAACATCAACTCACTCTCATAGACCGAAGGAGATCATCCGACACCCTCAAACGACGAGACCCACAATGAGCTAGATGCATCATTTCCAAAGAAACATATGCCTTTCTAAATGTATTCATTGAACTCTACTGTGACGTATGTGCATATCACACAAGCACGACAAGCATCACACTGAAGTATTGAATAGGATACTAGTGAGCACTTCGCCTTGGACATTCTTTTTGACCCCGACATGTGTAACTGCTTTCGCAGGTAGGGGAAGCCAACCCAGCAAGTGTTATAAGGAGTAACAAATCGATACAAATCCACTGAAGAGCCGGGTTCAAACATTGACACATGTTGGGAGTTCAAACATCGAATGTAAGACTCTTCGTTTTGAAAGCTTTAGTGCAACTTGAGACGACCAAAACGGCCAGAGCCCTTTCGCATCGCTGCCGTGCGCACCATCTGCAGTGCGCACGCCAAGCACGGTCCTGTGCCTGCGCCAGGTTTGCGCAGGAAAAACGGGCCAAAACCTTCAACGTAGCTGACGAGTCTGAAGATGTGTCACGTTGAGTAACCTGATCTGCATCAAACGGAAGGGAAAGAAAGGTCTGAAGGTCAAAAGGAAACACACACGTTCCCGTTCCCTTCACACGTGTTGAACGGTTGATGCTGCTTACATCGTTCTCCACAAGCCGCTCGGCCTCTTCACAGTGCACATAGCTTTGGATCATATGGCATGTGATCCCAGAGATGTACCACCAGCTTTTCCTTAGCCATCAACGTTCGCTCCAAATCACTCCTTCAGGCCAACTCAAGAACTGCAACGACGAGTGACTTGCCAATTTTTCACAACTGCATCAAAACACGAAGCCTCTTCCAAGGTATATATTTTAAGAGAGAATTTTTCTATCAATGGGTTGTGGCCTATGTTCCATCCAAGGGTGTCTTTTCTTGGAAGTCTCTGTATTCTAATACACACCCATGTAAGCGTGGAGATGATGAGGGACGAACCCTCCGGGGAACCCGGCCAATCATCTGCCCGGTCTTCATGCAAATGATCCAGGAGAACCTGCTTTTCACGTGGAACGTGGCGCATGACACAGGTAGAGAGCATTGATTCTGGCAGGTGTGACACGTGCAGGAAGTAAGTCTATCCCTAGACTTCCAAGGTTGACGCTGGTTTTGTAGTTTAAAATCCTGAGTAAAGCAATGGCGGCTCGGTAAAGCCTATTAAGTTAATCGTGGTTGGAAGCCTCGGGCTACGGTGAAGTTGCCTGATGGCAGCCCGAGCGGAGGATGGGGATGCACTCATAGTGACCCGCATTTCGACAAACAACATGCACCCCAAAATGCAAAGCCATGCGCTAAGGCCGCTAAGAAAATGACAATCACCTCACCTCCCTAGAGATTCCCGCAGCTCCCCTCATGGGTGTCTGCAGTGGGTTAAGGCTTCTAAGGTTTGCAACCACTTGTGCACACACACACAAAGCAAAAGGCTCTGTCGTCCCCAGCTGAAGAAAAGAACCGACTATGCTCACCTCGGGTCATGGAATTGAATACCTTACTGGTAGAAACAAACAAAATTCTTCTTCTCCTTTCTACAAAGAAACCCTGGCCTTCTTTTTTCGAGCTTTCTGACCTCTCATGTTCGGAGATGTATCCGTTTTGTGCCTCATAGCGCTCCAGCTGCGTGAGGCCTGCAAGGTCTAAAACTCCTCCCAGGTGCCTGGCCAAAACTGCAATCAATTACTTTACGATGGCCTCTAACCTAAGAGCGATGGCCCCCAACCTGGTTTTTGACATGTTTCGATCTATTTGGACCGATTGTCCTAATGCTCACGAATGCTGGACAGCTCGTGTGGGCTTGTTTGAGCTCCTTTTTTCTTCAGCTTCTTGTTACTACTCGTGATGGCCTCCACCCTAGTAGCGATGGCCTCCAACCTAGTAGCTTCTTGCTAGTAGTAGTAACGCTCTTGTTCCTAGTAAAAACATGGCTCACAAAATCATCCGACGAAGCTTAAGAACCTGCGCGCCTCCGAAAGTCCTCGTTGAAGAGGGACAAATCCTGTGCACGAAAATGAGTGGATCCCACGGAGGACCAAACGCCGACGATAAAATGACCGATGTCCTTCGCAAAGGTGGGATCCTGGCAGCAAAGGACACTACGAACGGAGCAAAGGGAATCGCTACTAGGGGCTCCTGGCCTTACTACGAGGAGCAAATAGCTACTAGGAGCAAATGGCATCGCTACGGAGCAAAGGGCATCGCTACTAGGAGCTCCTGGCCTTACTACTAGGCAAATAGCTACTAGGAGCAAAGGGCATCGCTACTAGGAGCTCCTGG